AGTCTTACTACACTCCCCATGCTATCTCTACACTGATTACTAATCCGAAAGCATCCCATGCCGGACATTCACTCAATCTGCATCTCGACTCACTCGAGTCCTGTTGGCGATCCTTCAACCTGGTTTTCCAAACCAGTTATCAACTAACGCGAATACTACGGTCGTCCTGTGGTCTCACTACACTTCCCGTACTGTCTACCTACTGGTGAATGCTACGGCTATCCCGTAGTCTTACATCCTGGCTAAAATCACGTCCTGCCGAGAAAATCTTCAACCTGGTTTCCCAAACCAATCATCTACTGATCGCTATTACACGATCTCAACAATGGGAAGTTTACCAAACTCCCAACTCACGCGTTTCTCATTCCGAACAACCACTCGGACTATTATCCTGTTCAACAAAGTTGCGAACTCATCCAAGCTTTGCACTTACTTCAGTTCCTAACACTATGTGGGTTCCTCCCCCACTTTGATTCAACTAGCTCCTTACAGCTCACTGTCTGGAAAGGATTCCCAATCCTTCTTACCACTCCATGATCATTCTGCTAAAAACTAATGCTTACCGCTTCTAGTGCTCCAAAACTAACCAATACCGTGATGCTACCGCCCCTGAAAAGTAGATAAATACTTCCCGAGCCTCACTCACACTTGCTACAGTGACTTCATCATGAGAACCTGCTCTAAAGGGAAACATCTTCGACTACTACTCTAACATCCATGGTATGCAGATGGCATATAACTCAATCACAAGCAGGTCACAAAATTCTGAAATAACCTTACCGATATCAATGCAGTACCATAACAATAAAATCATAAACAGAAGCTAAATTTCAAATACATACCAGCGATCTATTGCGGCTCGATCTTGACTTCCTGCGAAACCATGGGCACTGAAGCCCGAACTCTCTCCACCTCCAAAATAGGACAACGGGACTTGAAATGACCTGGCTGGTGACAATGAAAACATATCTTATCCTTCTTACAATCCCGGTGTACATGACCTCTTTCTCCACACTTGAAACACCTAAACTTGTGACAAACAAACCCATGGGTTCCCCCACACTTGCCACACACCTCCATGCCTCCCTGACTCTCAACACCCAAATCTGCCAAGTTGAGTTCCCCTCCCTCTTCCGATCGTCCTGAGGTAGGTGCTCGCTTCCTTTTTTTGAGCTGCCTATCCAAACCAATCATCTGCTCCTGAGTTACCCCGACTACCCCATCAATCGTCTGAACAGTCGCTGCATGACCCAGAATTCTAGCGGTAAACCTATCAGTAACACGCCCAATAATGTCGGGTAACTCCTCTTGCACGACCCGCGAAACCTCCACCACGATCGAATCATGCAGTGAACTTTCCTAAAGACTAGATGCGTACCCCATCTCTGCTCCCTGATGACAAGAACTGACAATAGGACCCTCTCTGCTGAGGGATCCCAGAGATCCATAAACATTGGGTCTTAGAGGAACCCCTAATTGCCCCATAGCGAGCTCGGCCCAGAGGGCCTCGAGGCGACTATCCAAAAGCTCCAAAATCCCCTGCTTGACTGTACGGAAGATCAAAGGAGTCTGGTCCAGTATACTACGCGTAATCTCTACTGATATGAAATCTCTCATCTGCTCCCCGAGCTGCTCAGCTCCTGAACCCGAGCCTGATCCCTCCTCGGCACCTGAAGTTCCCACGGGTCTACCTCGTAGTGTCACCATACTGCATCAGTCATAACATAACTATCATCAAAATACTCATCGCTGCTGAGGAATCACACAAGCACTATAGGCTCCCCGGTTTTATCTCAGCCCTCCTTGACTCAAGTACAGATCCTTTGCTTTCAGTAGTATGGGCCCTTACTACCTTCCACATCTATCCGTACTTTCCTCAAGAATTGCCTCGACTACACCAAGTCCCTTTCACTGCTACTAACATTGTTCCCAACACTACTCTCATCCTAGGATTGCCTTAGGGAATCCTCTAACTCTCTATCCGCCATCAGCCGCATAAGAAATTCCTGTTATCTCCCCCTAACTAACTCGCGAATACCATTACATATCACTCAGACTAGATAATTCTTCGAATGGGAGGTCCTACCCTACAACGGTTAGACTCATACAAGAGCTGCGAAATAGGGCTAGACCTAACCTTCTGAAATTATTTAGTCCTTGCAATATGTAACTTAATATATTCGTTTACTAGTTAATTAGAGATAACTAGAACTCCTAATAGCACAAAGCAAGCAGCATTCAGGCATTGGGCAAACTAACCACATAATCCAATCAAGCTGTTCTATCCTTTAATCAGAAATCTATACTAGCATGCAACTCATAAAGTTCATACACATATAACAGGCACATAAGGCATCCTCATAGATCCTTAGTCCTAAACTAGCATGCAGTTCTAATATACATATCATAACATAAACTTTTATGGGTAATTTGGGAGAACATGCTTGAGCTCGGCTGATTGCATGCACCACAACACTTTTTTTCTCTTTTTCAAAGTTCTTTTTCTCTTTTCAAAATCTTTTTCTTTTTCTCAAAGCTCTTTTAGAAAAATGATTTTCCTTTGAAAACTTTCATACCAAGTCCTCAGTTTGAGTTCAAACACACCCGAGAGTGTATCCGAATCCCTCAAACCAAGGCTCTGATACCAACTTGTAACATCCTTAAAAATACGGTCCGAAAATTTCATTTTTAAACAATTAGTAAAAACCATAATTATCCACCATTTCATTCATAAACAAAACTGTTATATCAAATCAGAGTAAAACATCAAAACATATTCTTTTATCAGAGTGAACCATCCCAGGCTAAACAAACTATGGTGTGTGCCATGCGATCACCCCGAGCCCCTCCCTCCGCTACCGGAAGTACCTGAAACCAAAACTAAAAACCGTAAGCACGAAGCTTAGTGAGTTCCCCAACCTACCACATACCACGTACGCATAACCACATACTGGGCCCCCACCCACTGTATCAGGACTTGCCCGACATCGGGCCCCGCCCAGCATCAGGCCCCGCCTGGCATCGAGCCCCGCTCGGTATACAAATCTTTTTCTCTTAGGCCCCACCTGTCTCTGGGCCTCGCCCGCTAAACACATACAAACATATAACATAACACATAACAAATAGCTAAACATACTCTACTATATTCCTGTTCTAAAACCTTGCCTAACTTGGGCCTCACCCCTATCCTGTTACTGATGAGTCGTGGAACCCCGTCCACGCTCCTGCTGATAGTGAGATACGGGCCCCCGCCCACACTCACCTCCCTCCTAACTCGGGCCTCGCCCCTGCTCTGCTACTAATGAGATACGGAACCCCGTCCATACTCGGATAGTGATGAGATACGGGACCTCGCCCACACTCACCTCCCTACCAGGCACATACAAGTATCACACAGACAACAAGTATAACTAGCATACTACATTCCTTCCTCGGGCCTCGCCCGACATCGGATCGTAATCCGAACATAATCATAATAATACCTAGGGCTAACCCGGTCTTCTACTATACACAAACACACATAATGGGCCGGCATTGTGGCCGTAGACCCATGCACACAGTGAGGAGACTCACCTCGCACTGCTGAACCCTGCTGATACTCCTCTGGCTGCTGACTGGCAATTCCCGAACTGCTGACCCTTCGGCTTCCCGACTACCAATACCAAACATCACTTAGTCCAATACAATAACCTTTCTAGGGTAAAATGACCATTCTACCCCTAAACCAACTTGGTCCATATCTAAGGACCAAAACTAAGGCCCAACACTATGTAGGCTTCCCAAGCCCACTAGTGGCCCAATTTGCTAAATTGGGCCCAATCCCTCTATTGGGACTCACTCTAAGCCGAACTATTTCCTTGGCCTATATTATCTGACTCCTGATGGCCCATTAAAGGCCAAAACCCAAAGTCCACTACAAGGCCCAAACCGAGGCCCAAAATGCACAAAGCCCAAACCTGATGAGTACGCTGGGCGTACTCCAATGTACGCTAAGCGTAAAGGCCAAAGGATGCGTACGTTGGGCGTACCTGCACGTACGCTCAGCGTACTCCCCTGTTAAGTCCTTTTTCCATAAAGTGCTTAATACACAGATTTAGAAGCTACAAACACAGATCCAGGTCCTTCTCCACGTCTTAATCCATAAAGTCACTGACTTGGTGACTTAACTTGTCCCAAACAAGTCTAAACTCCAAAAATGATAATCTACTTCCATAAAGAGGGCTATATCTCATGCATGAACCCATTAAGACACTCAAGATGAAGACTTTACTGCTTATGGAACCCTTTTAGCTCTGAGGGTGGCCACCCTAAGCTCACAAACGAGATTTCATCATAAAGGTCCATTCTTGGGACCAAAATAACTCCAAAACTACACTACACTAGATCTAAACATTCTTAAGTAAAGTTATGAACTTTATACCTCAAAAGAGTTCCAAATGTTGATGGTATTCCAAATCTATGAGCTCCAACTCCCCAAGTTCTTCCTCGCTAACTTCTCCTTTTGCTATTCCAAGCTTACACCACCAAAATGAGCTTCCCAAGGTCAAGATCTCACAAGAATGAAGGGATGAGGCATTCTAGGGTTTCTCTGGGGTTGAGGGACAGATAAGGAGGCTAGGGTTTGGGCCATTATGTTCCTTATATAGTGGCATGCCCTAAAATTAGGGTTTTGAGACTCTGAGCGTACGTTGGGCGTACACCTCTCCGCATCTGCGACCAATCCTCCTTATACGCTGGGCGTAACCCATCTTACGTTGGGTGTACCCAGCCAAACACGTGCATGCATCGCTTGCATGCATGGGACTTACTTACCAAATATTTCCTTTAGGGACCATTTATGTCAATAACTTCAAAGTGCTGTAACTCCTTCATTCTAAGTCCGTTTCCGACGAACTTTATATCTACGAAAAGGTGGCGAGAAACCCTACGCTTCCAGCGACACAACCTGGCCCAAAATCGCTCGAATAAAAACCGAAAACCTATAAAAGACCAAAACGCCCCTAGCCTTGTCCTCTGAATTCCATAAACAGATACTTTCAGAATAGGGTGTTACACAGGAAGCATACAATCTAAAAGGGCATGTTGGATTATTTCCTTTACAACACCTAACTAGCAACCTACTCTTGTCATTCTTTTCATACCACAGATCATAACCATTTGCTACAGCATAGCAACTAAGAGAGTATTTAAGTTCAGCAGTAGTAGAGTATTTTATACCTAATCGAGGCTTCATCTCATTCCATTTCTGAGTATGATCATGTCTTGGGTAGATAGGTCGTATTGCATTATGATATTCTTCAACCAAGTCATCATTCTGTATTGGACAAAGTTTGTTGAGGAATTGATCATTGAAGTTTCTTTTGAGAGATATAACTTTATCATCCTCTACATGTTCAGCTTTCAGACCATCTTCTAAAATGGAGTCAACATCATCAATAGAAACCAAATCATCATCTTCAAGGTCTGCTTCTTCCTCCTGAATCCAATCAAACAAAGGTTCATGATGATGATCCACATACTCATCCAATCTCTTCTTTTCATTGATATCTTCAAGAAACTCGTTAAAATCACAATCATTCTGAATAGCATGTAATCCCTCAGACAACCTCAGTTCATGTGGACAATAATACATATCTCTGCATCTTCCGTTAGTAAGCTTTTCAAGAAAGGGGATGAAATCAAGGAAGTTTATCTTGTTCACAACCGTGTATGGTACAAATGCTTTTACTCCATCAAAATACATCAATGAGGTAGGTGTGAACACCCCATTATAGTATACATCAACGATTATATATGCATCTTCTTCCATTGTTGATGGTGATTGTGAGTTAAGAAGTTTGAGGGATTATCGGCTGAGTGAATGGAGGAATGACTGATTAAATGAGCCCTAATTGTCAAAATGTGGTGTAATTTAACAATATCCACGTAAGGTGACATGTGGATGCCACCTGGTTATTTCATTTCAAGAAAATAAAAGAAAATTCGTATATGACCGGTATACCGGGTATAGCCGGTCAAAAGGATTGCATAATTACAAAAATCTGGTATAAGGGTTTAATTTACAAAAAAAAAAATAAGGACTAAATGTGTACATTTCAAAAAGTATCTTACCCTATCAAGTCATTTTCCCTATGCTTTAATATGAGCCTTCCTTTCAAGAAAGAATTTAATGAAGTATGGGGGTTTTACTGTTATGTTATATAGTCCAAACATTATATATACTATTAATTGTTAAAAAGTTGGTGAACAGGAATCTTTGACGATTTGCATTTCTACCACAAATTTTTCTTGCTTTAAAACATTTGCCACAACGCTTGCTTTTTAATTTATTCAACCGGCCATTTACCCCTTTTTTGTGCCACCCTTCTCCTCCAATAGGACTCTCCACCGCCATTGACTGCGTCTCTGAATATATTCCTCATGCTTATCAGATTTCTTCACTTGATAACTCCTCCGCTCTTTTCCCATTATTGCATTCCAATCGAACGATGACGTCGACTTCTACTACTCCTTCTCACTATTCAGTTTCTTCCGATTTCGTTTTATCTCGGCTTTTAATTATTTGGTTTCAAGAAACAGGTAGAAGTCGATCTGAACCCTAGATATCGGTTTGTTCACCATATGGTTGACTATGGTTTAATCAGCCAGGTACCGATGCCCTTTCTTTTGTCTTTGGTTTTCTAAGTTTCATAAGTTAGGGTTGAGTTTTGGGATTTTGATGTGATTCCCAGTGTACAAATGTTTAATCAGCCAGATATTGTTGCCCCTTACTATTTAGGGTTGCTTTCTTATTTCTCATCTCCATAGCAGGTATGATTTCATTGTTTCTAATTCTATCTATCTGTCTTTCAAATTCCATTGCTTCAAAAATTCAGTGATGATTTCTGTTCTCATGTCATTTGTGTATGTTTGCTAGAGCTAAACTGAGAATGGAAAGAAAACACATATCGCCCAGGAAGAGAGAGAAAGGGAGATCGAGGCTGTCTTCATCTCGCTCTCAATAAATCAGAAAATAAAGAAAACAAATACCTCTTGCAACATATGTATTGTATCACTATTCATCTCTTTAGATCCTGATTTTACCATTGTGTGCGACTATATCGGAGTACATATGTATTATTCATGAATTCTACATGCTTACCATGTTATCACATAAGAAACCATCCAGATCAGTTGCCCATTTACTTCATACAGTCGCATACAGGTTTTTATGAGATTTTTCTATTGGAACAGCATGCTTACCATGTTATCACATAAGAAACCCACCAGATCAGTTGCCCATTTACTTCATACAGTCGCATACAGGTTTTTATCATAATTTTCTATTGGAACAGGTTTTTATGTAGATGTTGATACATTACAGCACTATAACACAAATAAATAAAAATACAATAACAAACGTTACTGTTCCATAAAAACTTGATTATTACATAAGAATAGGGTAGAAGCTGTACATTTTTGTATCTCTTTGTAATTATTCCATAGAAGCTGTACATTTACACAAATAAATGTAACTATAATCACTTTTTTTCCTCTTTCTCTTCTTATACATTCTATAACTTCAATCTCCATTTTTTATTTCTATCCCTAATTTTGGATATTCAATCATCTGCATATATTGATGCGCTCTTAACCAACACGTTTGTGACTAAAATAAAAAGGGTAATTGTGTAAATTGTTGTTGACTTATTTTTTTCATCGTTATCTCTATGAAGATTTCAAATTGAAAAACACTCAACACCTACGACATAAGAACTCAGAGTGTTGTTGCTTTTTTCCTTTTCACCATCTCCTTTTCACCATCGCTTTTGCTCAGTTCCTTCTCTCCTGTTGCATAAATTACTGTTACCCCGTCTCATTTTTGGGTGAACTGGTTAAATATATGCATAAATTAGTTTATAATCCTCCCTAATAAATAAAGAACTTTTTGACACTTGTCAATTTCTTATGCATTTGGACACATGTAATTTTGTGGTTAATTCTTAGAAATTAATTTCCACTTGTCATTTTGTGGTAATTTTTGATTTTCTTAATTAACTATCTAATTTTTAGGTTATAGAAAGTAATTAATGTGTCATTCATTTGTTTCATTGTATTTTCAAATTTTAATATATTTCCTTCAATATATATAATTCAAAATTGACATGTTTCTTTTAAAGTTCATTGTCATTTTAGGCAAAATGGTCTATATAAAAAAAATCAAACTTTGTTGCTTTTTATTGACAAACTAAAAAAAAAATTATATGGTCAAAATATAATTATTTTTCTGTAGTTTGTTTTATTAATATAAATTGAATTATTTATTTATTCATCATTTTGTTTATATATATATATATATATATATATATATATTGAAATTTTATTTTAAAAAATATTTAATGTTTACACTTTGATATTTATTGTTTTCTTAAAAAAATATTTAAATTTTATATCTTCATGTATAATTTTTTTTAATCAACACATGTAGTACACGGGTTTCACACCTAGTAACTAAATATATACATAAAATTGGATGATTTGGTCTTTTTCTGTGAATATGTTTGATGAAATTGACAACTTGATGAAAGGTCCACAACATCTGATCCATTTTAAAGCTATATGTGATATAGGAGTTTGCTCAAATCGAGCAGCTGTTTCAGGGTATTGGAAAGCTACACGGACAGATAAAGTGCATTTGTTGAAAATTTGATCTGAAAACATTGATCCTCCTATTTGTGAGACAAGATGAAGAAAAGGATGGGACAATTACATGGGAAGCTATCAATGCTGGTAATGCTATATTTGAGACACAAGTATTATTCGGGTTAAGTTTTAGTTTGGATTCTATGTATACAAGTAGTATTGGTATTGATCATATATGTTAAAGTTAGACCTTTTTTGATTTTGATTTGCTTTTAATTTTTATTTATGTTTAATTCGATCTACGTTCATCTGTCACCACTTAGACCATCCGTCTTCACCATTGTCGCCTGCTTTCTTCTTCGACGGCACTTCCCGGTCTACATCAGTTAAGTCATCTTCTAATTCTAACCCAACTGAGAAGTTGAAAGATTCAAGTTTTCTTTGGACATCCGGATGATGTTCTTGATCTGTCCTGGTCCAAATCACACCATTTGCTGTCATCTTCAATGGGCAAAACTTTGCGGTTGTGGCAGTTGTGTAGCAAGTCATGTTTGAAAATCTTTTCACACAATGACTATGGTAAGTAAATACATATAAACAAGTAAGTTTATATATGTATTATTGTGTATATATCTCTTTATGAAGTATGGTTACTAAGGGTGTATCTTTTTAATACAGTAACTTACATCCAATTCAATCCTGTTGATGAGAGATGCTTCATTAGTGGATCACTTGATTCCAAATTCTGGATTTGGAGTATTCCTGATCATCAGGTCATTCATTGGAATGATATGCATGAAATGGTCACTACTGCTTGCTATGCACCAGACGGTACGGTCAGGTTGACATACAAAGTTGACCATTTTTTTATAATATTTATGGTTTCGTATTTTGGTCTAACAAATATTTTTCCTGATTCATGAAGGCTGCATTAGTTGGTTCCTACAAAGGGAGTTGATGTTTATATGACACAACTGGTACTTATATTTCTATGTTCTTTTTTTTTTATTTTTAAGTTTTTTTTTTTCCTATTTTCAAGTGTTGGTAACTTTTATTTATTTTTCAGAAAATAAATTACAACAGAAAAGTGAGGTTAACCTGCAGAACAAAAAGAAGTCACGCCACAAAAGATCACCGGTTTTCAGGTGAAAATTAAGAGTTATTATAACGCCTTTTGGTTGTATCATGTTGAAATGACCAAAATACACTTTACAGTTTGCTCCAGGTACTGCATCTGAAGTGCTAATCACTTTTTAAAAACACGATTTTTATTTGATCCGGTTTGACGGATGGGTCATGGGTCAACCGATTGAACCTCCGGGTCAACCGATTGAACCTCCGGGTCAACCCGATTTTACTGTTGATATTTTTTCAACTATTAGTTATTATTTTGGTCTTGAACCAGATCCGAGTTGCGTTCGAATAGTTTGATTTGGGGACATGGGTATAATTGAAATTTTGATGGTAAGCTTCTATTTTATTTTCTTTGTACAAGTAAATCCATAAAATTTATTGTTTTCTTTTAGGACTGTTGGTCATTTGAGATCAATGGCTACATATTTTATATATATATATGTAGAAACTAATATTGTTAGATTGTATATTAATTGTTCTTATTCTATTCATTTCCTAGGAATTCTCACAATCATCAAAAGTAACATTCACGATCTACAAATTTTGGATTTTCAATCTCATTTGTCATTCTTACTTATTGGTTATAGGGTGGTGCACTCAGATTCTAGGATCTTACAGTAACATTAAATTTCTCCAAAATTCAACTTCATTGGTAAAGTCTGGTGACAATGCAAATTGTCCCTTTCAAACATGGATTGATGATCGTTATAAGGAGAATTGCGAGATTGGATTTACATTAGGATCACATAGGTAACACCCACCGAACAAAATGACAAAAAGAAAGTCATAGAAAAAAACGCAAGAGCACTTATGAAATTTACTTTATCAAAAATACTTTTTTTATTAAACAGGTTGTTGAAGATCCTAGTTTTGGTAGTAGTTTATTGTTAAGTTGGTTTGAAAAAAAATAGGTGGGATGCGGCTGGTTATATCTTTTCATAAATATTATAATATGTTCTATCGTTTGCTACAACTTGAAATTAGGAAGAAAAAAAAAAAAAAAAAAAAAAGACAGCGCCAACGGCACATCTAATTCCCATCTAGTTGGGCTCC